CTTTCTATTACTTTTTCACATCTGAAATTCCTATTTTTTCTATTTTTAGCGTCATTTGTCACTTGACGCCCTGAGTATACTTCACGCTTTAAACTTCGTAGAATACTATTTAAGTTTATCGGTTATACCTGGTGAACTAGTATCCAATACCCGGTGATAGGGTTATGAAAACCTAGGTCGATCATCTTAGATTTCCAGGTCAAATGCAAAAATTTCATGTTGAAAGAGGTTTTAGCACTTATCTCATAATTTTCAAGTTGATCCAAATTTTGTGTCAATAACTTATGTTAATCTTTGCTTCACAGACAGAAGGCATGGTGTTCAAAGAAAGAAAATTAAACATCGGCCCTGCCATCCGAAAGCAGGTAGTGATATTTTTAACGACATGTAATATAGGTAGATTCATGAAAGAATAAACTGCTCATATATTGTAAGTGGTTAATATTGACCAGGAAGTAAATGTATAGACATCATTGACAAGTAACTGAAAGTGGATCAGCTTCAGTGATCCAGCACAATGTCACGGTCGGTTCCACAATGGGGCTTGTAAAGTTCTAAACGCGATATGTGTGTATTAGTAATGATATTATGAATTGTATTAATTAATATAGTATTAAACTTTGTTGTCGATACAAAATCAATACAGTAGTTGTAAAAGTAAACTTTTTCGTGCTTTGTAGTAAGTGGATGGATTTACAAAAAAAAAATTCCACTTGTGTTTCAGCCGTTCTGCTCAAAGGTTTATTGTGAGTATATGCATTGATATTCTGTATTCAATTTTATATAATAATCACTTGAATCTCATATAATAATATACGTGCTATGTAATGTCAGTAACCAATAATCCTCATTCTAAAAACTTGCCAACTGACCAGCAGAGTAATCGTGACATTTAGTAGTGTGAGCTACAGTTAATTTTGACCTAGTTAAGTGTTAGCGAACGAACAGTTTATGGTGTACACAGTTGGGGAACCTTCCTAGCTGCAAAGTCATATCAGGAGTATTTTACGTTTAACAGTTTGAGGTAGTTGAGATGTTGTGAGTTGTTAAGTTTAGCACCAGCAGCAATAATTCAAGTTCAGGTGAAAGTCTGTCACGCATTAGCCAAACATTGCCTGCTTTGGTGGTCGTTGACCCAGCATTAGGTGCGGTAGTCCGCAGCCTTTCGGTGACACTGGGTACAATTAAGCCCTGGGGCAGAATACGTGCTTGAAAGTTGCGGGTGTATTGGGACCCTACGCATGGCCGTATGTATAGGCTTTTGTTAGTTAGCATTAGTTGAGTCCATCTGTTGCCAATAGATGTACTGCTATGTGCAGGGTGCTCAGGGTGAGGGATCTCGATCTGCAGCTTCATAATACGTTGGTTGAGGTGTGTTGTGTGATGGTTAATGATAGTGAACTGAATTTGCAGATTCACCACAGCCAATGGGCAATGGTGCAATCATGTACGACCCTGCAGTTCCTAGCTACTCTACTGGCCTCACCATATACTCCCCAGATGCCGGCACAGGATACTCGGGACTGCCCCAACCACAGGTAAGTCTAGGTTACCTGTCTCACTCTGCAGTCTTAAGTACGCAGAAAGTGGGGGTGTGCGTTGATCGTCCTATTGTAGTGGCCCTAGGTGCTATCTGTGTCTATAAGTCGTGTGGTTGTATGACGTCACCATTCGTGAAATCTCCATCTAGTGCCACTGCATAATTTGTAGGGGTGACCTGTTCTGTATGTCTTTCTGCAATCAGTTTTTACGTAGATGGCGGTGCGTTAAGTATGCAGTTTTAACTAGTGATGTCCCGATGATCGATTATAGTCTTAAATTCGATAATCGATTATGAAAACAAATAATCGATTATCGGAAATACCAAAACAAACAAACAAGGAACTGTACTCACGATGTGGGAATTGATATGACAAGTAGAGCACAAGTCCTGCAGGGGCCCGTTGTCAGAAACTTAAGGTTAATGCTAATGTTACTGTTAACATAGGTTCTGTCTGATTACAGAGCTGTACTAGTGTACTTAGAGACATGGACAAATTGGACAGTGTCTTTGTTTTGGTTTGACACTGTCCCACAGATGTTATCCGTAGATGAGATTCTACTCTCCGTATTGTTTGTTACATTGTGTTGGAGAGGATATTCCATTGGCAGGACATTAACTCGGCTACACAGCCTACACTATTAGAACACAAACAACTTACTTATACTATAATAAAGAACAAGTCTTGATCATGTTTGTTTAAAACTTTTAATGTTTTAATAAAGACATTTAAACCATTTCTTTATAAATTGATTAAATACTGTATAGGAACAGACATTGTTGATAGATATACAGCAACCTTCACAGAGTTAATACATGATCATAAAACATGATAATATTGAATGCTATATGTATAATTGTATATATACAAAGTAAGATTAAATTAAATCTATGCTATTATTAACCGATTATCTGATTATAATCGATTATCGATCGGTTAAGGGAAACCGATAATCGTTTATGAAATTCCAGCCGATTCCCATCACTAGTTTTAACATGTATTAACTGTTAAAATTCTTTTAAATATATATTATCACAAATTGCATCTTGTGGTGTGTGTTGCTACTCGGTGCCCTGTATCTTAGCAGCACTGTTTTTCCTTGTTGGTATGTGTGCAGGCTACGCTCCGTTCATATGAATCTGTATAAAATGCTGCACACCAATGATATTCCAGGCTATTAGTGCGGTACATACTGTATTCCTCCCCCAACTCTATGCGGCCGTGCTTCTTCTGCAAATATAATTTCCTTAAATATGGGGTGAAGAATCGACCTTCCAAGGGGGTGGTAGTCATGGCTCAGACGAAAATAACACCGCCAGTGTATTGAAAAGATGCAGCCATAGCATAGCATTTGTTTTTATCTGCACGCATTGCAAACCTGGCCAACTGGATGCACATGAATGTACGATCAGCACGGCACGTAATGGTAACCACATGTGTTTTAATTGTTGAGTGTCGACTTCTACACGAAAACATAAATTATCTTTATATGTCAGTGTTTGTGTTGTTCTTTTCTGCCCATAGTAGAAAATGTTCTGTCAGGGTAGCTAGAGCTGCAGATATGCAGGTTTCCACTGAGCTGCCCCTGGCTCAGCTTGTGTATATCTGTGATCGCACATGTGTGCAGTGGGGATTCCCTGCAGTTGAAAAATATAAACGTGCTTGCGTGCATAGCTATAATACAGCTTCACCCTATTAACTAGAGGTTAGTAGTCCATGAAAGAATTGTGAAACTTTGTGTAAAACAGTTGTCGTCACCTAAGCTATTTCCACGTGTGTAGAATATTGGGGGAAGGTGTCATCTATGTAACGTGGCTATTATACTATCGTGATCATAATAGTGGTATGCGTCAGGTGAAGTCACACCCGGTGCTAAACGTCTGTACTGTACAACACATAAAGAACGCAAGACTGAGATGTACGTATTTAAAGCAAGTACATATTTAATGAACAGAACTTAACTAATGTATAATCCCACAAACGGGGCAGAAACGCGTACATATACTTGCGCGGGTTCTGAACATAACTTACGATTGCAATAGACGGTATGCGGTCGCAGAGACGGTGTACAAAGTGTCTTGAGCGGATAAATAGAGAGATTGCCGGAAAGCTCCCCGCACAGCCGTGCGGGCCGTTTTTATATACGCGTCCTCTATTGTCTTTCTCCTGGCCAATAGACCTTATCCTGCGCGCTAACTGCATGGCTGTCACATAATGGGACTGTCCAGGCAGTGGTCAGCGTTTAAACAAAGACTCCAGCTATCTCCATTATAACACATATTTATAGCACTAGCTTCATCCCTGACTTTCATAATTACTTATGAACTAATTTCTCTGTATTACATTATCCCCCCCCCCCTTCAGAAAAAGTAGGAAGCCGCAGTAATGCGGAGAACGCATATAAAACGGCTCGCACGGCTGTGCGGGGAGCTTTCCGGCAATCTCTCTATTTATCTGCTCAAGTCAGTTTGTACACCGTTTCTGCGACCGCATACCGTCTATTGCAATCGTAAGTTATGTTCAGAAACCGCGCAAGCATATATGTACGCGTTTCTGCCCCGTTTGTGGGATTATACGTTTAAGTTAAGTTCATTAAATATTTACTTGCTTTAAATACTTACATCTCAGTCTTGCGTTCTTTATGTGTTGTACAGTACAGACGTTTAGCACTGGATGTGACTTCACCTGACGCATACCACTATTACGATCACGATAGTATAATAGCCACGTTACACCTATGACTATACTGCCTACATAAGTCTGACATAATACTCTAATGCAAATCATATGTGATGTCTATCTTCCAATTATAAATGTTTGGAAAGTGAGAAAAACTTACTAATACATTATATATATACTAGTGTGCAAGCTGCTGCTTGCCAATAATGTCGCAATTTGTCACCACAAGTGAGTTTTCTCTGGCCTAAATTCTCTATATATAGCGACTTCAATTGGTAACATTTCTCTTGTGACCATTAGGTAGTAAGTGATTGTGGACATGTCTCATATAATGGAATTTCCAATGAAATAGTTAGTAGATAACGTGTAAAGGTATGTACTATGAGCGTACCAATGACAGCGTCACAGCAGCCTGTATGACAAACAGTACTCAATGCTACATCGTAAAACAAGCATAGGAGCAATATCTATTTATAAGTGCATAGACACACATGTACACTAGCGTAGACAGTTCTGGGCAGAAATTATTATTAGATTTTGGAGCCTATTTAAAATTAAGAAAATGCTAAAGAGAAGACAAATATTAAGTTTTGTTACTACATTTAAATCTACAATTCTACTTTACATATCTAGAAACCTAATGTATATCTTTGTCAGCTAGGCTATATGTATCAGTTTGTGCAAGCAAAATATTGCCTTTGACTTTTAAAATGCGTGTTCAGATCAGCAAATTATGCTATAACATACAAAACGTGTGGTAGTAAGTAGATGTTTTTAATGTGGTGTTTCTCTGCTATGGTAACGCGTCTGCTTTCGTGGTTGCATGTATGTGTGTTAACTGGAAATCGTGAGTATACGTTTACAACACTGCAGCGGTTTTCCAAGTGTGCCAGCTAGCATGTAAAGAGGGTGGGTTATTTTTAGTCGCACGTTGCATTTGGATATTGTTGAATCTTACGTAGCTCGCAATGAGAAAACATCACCATGAATTTCCACGCGTGTGCTCCCACGTAAATACACAGCCTCTTGCAATGCCCCAGTTTCTAGTTCAGTGCAATGTTATTACTAACGTGTAGGTTTGCTTGCATTACAGTATTCTGCAATAATTGACGTAGCTGCATGAGCTATTTTGTGAGTGCGAACTGGTTTCAGCATGGGTATATTAGTGGCAGTGTTCCTTGTCCCTATTCCAGTCATAGATGTAGTGTTGGTTGTGGTGTAGTAAAATAGTAATAATTGACCAATTTTTTCGCTTCAGGTACTTTACCAAGTGTAATGTACTGAATGCATGGTTTCATGTTCTGTCTATGCTAGCGTTTCAAGGCCAGAGGCGAATGCTAATGAATTCCGTATAATTGCCCTTAGTTACACATTGTATTTATGAAAATATGTATGAGTGCATGGCTTTTTCGATGTTTTTATTAATTGTTTCCTTCACTAATCATTGGTGATGTTTGTTGAAAAAAACAATGAAGTACCGTCAGTAAAATTACTATGCATCATAGATGGGTCTATATGATCATATTTTATTAAAAATATTAGCCAATCACTCACGGAACCAATGTTAAGTTAATGTTATGAATATTGAAATAATTAAAAGTGTGTGACAGTGCGGTGTATTTTGACTTAGCGTTCAGGGGGCCGTTGTCAGAAAGAAAATTAGTCGCAACATTAGTCTTACCATTAACTTCTACTCGTAAACCGTTGACAGAAACATCGTAATGTTGCGAGAACGAAAAATCCTCGCAAATATCCTCATAACATTACGAGAGCCCAGACCCTCTCGTAACTTTAATATTAAGATGAAAATAACACATTTAGACTAAGAATTACAATTATAGTGATATTATATTTTATAATAATGAATAAAATGTGTGTTTTTCTTGAAAAACACGTCAAAATCATTAATTATCTATACCGCTAATAAAACAAAACAATACATTTACAAATGGCGTATGGCATTTGTTCTCTTGTTCTAAAGGTTTTCCACGCTTGCCACGATTCTCGCGTCTCGCGTTACAGTGTGAGAATTTGTCTTGTTGTGCAGAATTAATTCATGACCACGTCGTTTTTCATCAAATATTATTTATATGTGGTTATAGCCATCATAATATGCATAAATTACTGTGATGTACAATAAATGTGTATGAATTTGAATTTTGTGATTGATTCTCATCCAATCGGCAGCCTTGTGATGAAGTTCCTGTTATCGTAAGTTTTCTAATAGCTGCGATGTGTTTCTGTCAACGCTAGTCTCGCAACATTAGCATTAGTCGTAAGTGTTATCGTAGCATTAACTTTAGCATTAACTTTACGATGTTTCTGACAACGGGCCCCAGTACTGTATTATATAGTGATGAATATACTTGCCTAACATAACTTTAATTTTACAACAAAAAGCTCTGATATCTGAATTTATGTTATCCTGAATGTAGAGTGTTACATCTAGCAGTGGGGGTTTTGATGCTCGAGCTGACTGCAAATGACCTTCATAGTTAACACCATTCTGTTCCTGTTCTGACTTGTTGAAGCTTCCTTGTCGAATATAGGGCTGGAAAAATTAGAGCAGCTGTTTGGAACTAAGAAATGGTTCTGGACCTGGTTGATGAAGTGAAAAATCTAATCAGCTAACATCAATTATTGTATCCCCCGAACGAAATTCGTGGGGATACTATGGGTTTGGCCTCGTCGCGCCGCCGCCGCCGCCGCTGAGATTTCCTTGTGAACGCTCTACCGGCTGCAGTTCTTCTCGGATCATCTTCAAATTTCGCATGAAGGTGCGTTATCGTAAAGCGAAGACGCCAATCGGTTTTGGTGTGGGCGGAGTCATCGTTGCCATGGTAACAACATTTTTTGTCGAAATATTCTAGAACCTGTAACTTCTGCAGTTTTTACCCGATTGTCAAATTTATATTTGTATTAAAATTAAAATTTTAAAATTTTAAAATGAAATTTAAATTTAATATTTGTATTAAATTTTTTATTTATATTTACATTTATGATTGTCATGAAATATATATATATATATATATATATATATAGGACATGTTATAACGGCCCTGTGTGCCAAATTTCATGACAATCGGGTAAAAAGAGCAGAAGTTACAGGTTCTAGAATATTTCGACAAAAAATGTTGTTACCATGGCAACGATGACTCCGCCCACACCAAAACCGATTGGCGTCTTTGCTTTACCATAACGCACCTTGGCATCTTGGGGAGAAGGTGTGCACAGTACCAATACCAGGTCACTGCGACCTTCATTTCACCTTTAATACCTTGACCTTGATCATATTTCCCTTTCGCTCTGTAACTCGGCCCCTAATTGACCTAGCGCGACCAAACTTGGTATGCTTACACATCTTGGGGAGAAAGTCTGTCGCATACCAAAACCACCACTGCCCTTGACCTTAGTTTGACCTTGACCGTCGACTTACATTTCTTCTTCGGCCTCCTAGGGTAACCAGATTTCATATACTTGCACATCTGAGGGAGCTAGACCAGTTGTCTAACAGTAACAAACCTTTGTCTTTGTGACTTATTTAACTTTACCTGCCTTCTACGTCCTTACAGAGATATTCCATTCATACTAGATCACGGGGGATACATGTAGTTGGCGACAACTGCTCGTTTCTAGTTTTTATTGAAGTTGAATGGATAGTCAAGCTTTTTTGGGTGGCGCATTGTTGGGTGTCATAGCATTTAGCAAGTACATTTTTGTGTTGGTAGTGTAAATTGGTGCGTGCGACTGCAACGCCTGCGTGAGATAGTGCAGTTCACAGTGCTGTTGTTATTGTTTAGTTTTCTGTGTATGTTCCTTTTTGGACTCACTATGAGCAATCTGCCAGTGTGGCCAACACCCCGAATTGCATGCAATCAGGGAGTTATTTGCATTTGTTTTGTCAGTTGCAACCACATTTCATTGCTTTTCATTGGATTCTTTTGCTTTCTTTGCAGCAGGCTGCTACCTATCCAATAACTCAGCCAAGCATCTATTCTCTACCTCAGTCTGCATATGCCCAATATCAGACACCAGTAAGTCCGGTAGGTTTCCACATAATATTATAACATTTGAGTGTGACGTGCTCTAGTGTCATAGAAGCCCAAGAACGATCTGACTGTATGGTAACTGGTACAATCCGGTCACCTAGCTAACTACAATGATAGTCTTGCAATTAGCTGACTTGTTTTAATTCTTGCTCTGGGATATCAAGAAATTTGTCTTCTTTTTAAGCATTAATTAGCCACGATTTACAAACTGAAATGTATTGAGTTGCAATAAAGTATCAGTATATATCTGTGTCCACTCGCATTTACAATCACTGTTTTTCTAATGATTGTTCCTTCTAAAAAACATGGTTTCAGTCCAGTTTTCTTGCTTCTTAATCTTACAATGAGTGGTATATATATATATATCCTTAACCACCATGATAATGGTTTTTTCCCTATACCTGGCTTATATGTACGTGTTTTACATGCTTGTGTAACAGAGTATTAGCCAGGAATGAGAATGAATCCCTAAACACAAGGCATGAAATCTCTCACCTGCTTTTTGTATGTCTCTCATATTACCTAGTTTTTGGCATCTTGTTACTGTTGTTTTAATATCTGGAAATAGCAACACAAGTCGATAGGTGCTGTGTTACGGAAGACTTTCTGCGAAATGGTGGGATTACATGGGTAGAAATTAATGCAGAACTCTGCATGTTTACTCCATGTCTAAGTCATCTAAGGGAATGTCTACTGGGGCCGGATTCAACTTCAGTTTGTACGCACAATATCGTACGTACCTACGTTCGTACGCACAAACAGGCATTTGGGTAAGTCTCCATCATCATCATACACGCACACGCGTTCACACACACCCACACTGGTCATTTACTGTGTGGATCATACATCTTGAATGATAAAGCTAATGTTTAATTGTTGCATATAGGGCAGAGAAAAACAATGCTCCGTAGGGTTGGTTAGTTGATTTCATGGCAAGAGCAAATAAAAAGGTTGAGTAATGTAAACATCTAAGGAATCAGGCAAAGATAGGGTTGAGTTTTCCCTGGCAGACATGAAAGTTGAACACACGCACCCCACCTCACCTACACTCCGCCATACACTCACATCACCTCACTCATACACACACACACACACACACACACACACACACACACACACACACACACACACACACACACACACACACACACACACACACACAC